ATGTGCTCCATCGTCAAATTTCTTATTCATGTTATAAAATATATCATCTAGAGCAACATCTTGTTTGAGCAAAATTCAATCATGTAATTTAACATGCACAATATTTTGACTCAAAAAATTGTTTAGCCTTGATCCACAAGATTTTTGGGATTGTATTTCGAATATGTGAGTAATATCCCGAAACGTCAACTTGTTAACATGTATCGTTGATAATAGAAATATATTCAATTGTTACCAATTGGAAGTATTTATTGCCAAATAACTAAGAATATTAGAAAACTTCCCAGAAAAAAGAATCAAATTCTCACATTTTCCCTTTAGCAATACCACAGATCAGACCAGTTTATTAACATCGTCCCTCTCTGTATTCAAACCTCCTGTTACTTAAGTATTTCATCACGGCCATTCTTTAAAAAATCCTTAAATGACTTAATAAACTAAAGAAATTAGCATCCATTCTCCTTTCAAATGCGAATGATATTAAAAATGATACCGACGAACCACCTTCCCAAACCTTATTACTTGAAAAAATCGTTCATATGAACTCGACTAACCTCTAAACAGTTTTTCAAAATACCACTATACTTGGGATACCGAACCGACCAACCTTACTGCAGAGCACATGGCGGTACTGCTTATTCATCAGCCTCTTTCTCATCGTCTACACCTTAAGCATTATATATTAAAAGCATTTATACTCTATTCGGTCTTCATCTTTATGTACGCCTTCTACGTCTACGGTGGTCTTTCAAATGTGGGTCCTATGTGACTATTATTGATGTTACTTGTTGATTGTAATCGCCTAATGTATTGTGCCGTTAATATTCTCGAGAAACAAAACATTATTATATCTACTATCTTTTTGATCTAATATATCTATATTTAGATCAATACCTAATATAGATATAACATCTCATATAGATACATATTAATTATATAAATGAGAGGGGTAATATTTTTTCGGGAGGGAGACATGCGCCATCGGCCTTGGGGGGAAGGGCACCCCTGATCGGACGTGAATAAAAATTTGCTGTACTTTTAAGGTAAAAAATGTATTTATTTCCTGTAAATCACCTTTTAAATATTTAGAAAGTAATAGCATTTTTTGTGCAAGAATAAATGATTAATACATTAACTTACCAGTTTTCAGATCGACATCACATACATCACCCACGAGCCTCAATTCGGAGTCACTTTAGACAAACTGGTAGACACAAATATCCGCAGCTCACGGAGGTTGCTCTTATTACGGTGTGAAATCACCCTGAGACCCAACATTCCCCCTTTCATTCTATTCTATTTTTCACAGAATCTCACCGTGAGTGAAATCACGTCACTTCACCAACCTGCGCCCGGTCTATGACTAAATGTGATTTACAGGAAAGGAATAAATTTCTCACTTTAAAAATACCTTCAGCAGCTACAGATTTCTAAATGAGTACATGGAATTTATAGAACTATTTTCTTGTAACTCTATAATAGTTTTTATATTTATCATAAAAAAAATGGACTCTTAAGAAGAATTAACCTTGCGTCTTTCGTTTATTCAAGTAAATACTTATATTTTTTTTATTTTATGGATTGATCAATTAATATTTTCACATTATCGGAATCAGGTTCGAAACTTAGTTATGGGTCGATAACCCCATTCATTTGAAAATGTTATATTAACTACTCAAATATTCGCAGTTAGGAAGAACTGCGGCTCAACTTCCGCTCGTACCCGGAGGATCATTCTTCACAGTAGATTTAATCCTGCTTCTGTCTCAACTTGCGGCCAGCCTAAGGCAATGGGAATTAAAATGTGGCATACTCCTGGGGTGTTAAGGGGATATTGTAAACAAAAAGAAAAAAACATTATTTGTTATCTACTTTATGTAGTTTTTGGCAATAAATAATGAAAATCCCTTATTTTTCCTGAACAATGATAGTCCCTTACTTTACCCTCCTTGGAATAAACATGGATAATACATTTGGAACTACCCTTGAAAAAAATAATTAAAATTCTCCTGGAATTGTCTTTTACCGTATCAATGAAATGGGTTACTACAAATGTCCCACATCAACAACATCCAGTACAAAGAAAATTTTATAAAATACATCGTGTTCCTTTATTAATACAATATCTACTTTCAGCATGGTTAAAAATCATGAAGAAAATAACCGCTTGTATATATTGTTACGTATATTTTCCTGGTTAAATATTTGTAATTATAATATTCGGGTGGATAAGCGTAAATTTCAAACTATAGAGCAAACGACCATTCAGTTTGTAAGCGACTTACTTCTTTCAGTTGTAAGGATGTTCGAAGAGTGTTACGGGCAAATAAATGGTCAACAGAGAGGAAGTAACCGAAACGAAACCTCTTAAACTGCAGCGGATGACAGACTGCTTGGAGTAGTGAAGTAGGGAGGTGGGGAGGTGAGAAGGTGGGAAGGAGGTGCATCATGTGGTTTGCGAGCGCCCCCTGCCGGGAGGAGCGCCAACTGCGGTAGGAGCGCCAACTCCTCAGCAAGCCATGCCAGTCTGCCTCGGCCTGTCAGCATTGAGCTATGGATCACCAGTTTCCTGACCAGGTAGGAGCATTCCATTTCAATAAGTCAACATCTCCTGGTCTCATGGCCAAACACTATACCCCCAGAATCTGTTTTTGCTGAAATCAAGTTACTAGCATGAAGAAAGTTCCTGGTATTGGTGACAGTGTAATTCATTTCAATGTGTGTTGGATTTTTGTCTATTATGTCTCTTCCTCTCAGAATGGTTCCGGATTAATAAATCTGTTATAAGTGCTATACTTTTCTACTTCCGTCTCTCAACTCATAAAGTGCTAAAATATTTCTTTAGTGTTAATTAAACACGCATCCTCAGCTGAATGATTTTTATTATATTTTAAAAGTATACATTAAATTGTGGATCGTTTGAAATGGAGTAAATGTAAACAGTGGATTTAGTTGTAGAGCGCTGCCAGAGTCGACAAAAAAACTAGTTTGTCAACGCCAGAGATACTCTTTCTCCTGTTTATTTTTCTACTGTCACCGTCCAATAATTTTGTTTATATACTCGAGTTTGCCTCTGTTAATCTAAAGAATATAGACAAGGATTTTTGTTCTATGACACAATATACCGCTAAAATCCCCGAGATTAATAGTCATTTTTAATGTCCTTACAGATTTATAGCTGTTTTCCTCCATTTGCCATTCTTTCCTCTCACGATCTTGCTACACTCTTCCAATCTGTTTTTAAGGTTTTTTCTTTATCCTTTTGGTGGAGAGAATATTTTGAAAGTTAAAATTTCCGTTGCCAGTCAGCGGCGTTGAAGTTTCTCAGTGTGCGTCCTCCACCAAACAACTATCAACTTCCTAAACCTTTATTGGCAGGTTGTTATAATTGTATATATTATTAGCTTCAATTGAATTTAATTACTTTCTAGCGTCACATTAATTATATCGTCTGACAGGGATTAAATTATCTTTAAAAAATGGTTATGCATAGTATTCTTCAACATTAGTGGGTTTTTTTTTAATTTTATTTATTTCTGTTTGTATTTTTTTTTTTAATTTTTACTAGTAGCGTTATATTACTACAACTGTCGTAGCACTTCTTCGACAATGAAATCAAATACATAAAGCACATTTCTTCTTTAAATCAACTCTTTGTGCGCACCAATGTCCATTCAATATTTACTATTCTTCTAAAGAGAAAAAGTCCTTTATTCCTTTAGAGACTGTGATTGAATGCTTATATGATACTATGAAAATTTTATAATTTTATTTATAATACTCTAAAATTTTACTTATTTTTTATTACTGGTGTCCTTCGAAATTTTCTTTAAAATAATCTTATAACAAATGATTAACAATTAAAATGCTACAAGTCTATAATTGAAAAAACGATCTTTATAATATGAATTACAACATAATGGAAGAAAAAAATTCTCAAATAAGATTTTCATTTCTCAACAAAAACTTATTAAATGTCAAATAAGTCTAGCGTACTTGGAGTCAGGATTTACTTAATGTGGCTTTAGCTCACTTTGTCTTAATATTGTTAGATTTGAACTTAATAGGATAAAAGATTCAAACCCTATTATGAAGTATATTTAGCAATTTGTTAATTTAAATAGATCTGTCTTGAAATTTACAGCACCTATTATTTTATTGTTGAGATTTACTTAATATTGGTTGAATTAGATTTAGAAAGTTATACTAATGTTAATAGTTCTCACATATTAATGAACTCTTTTATATTTCATTATTTTATTCAATGGATAAGAACCATCATTTTGTACTTATTTTAACAGTTTTAAATTGTCTTACATACATTCATTATCATAGTTTTTTAAGAAACTTTACTACTTTTACAGATTTAGAATTTCTCATTTCTCAATGAATATTAAGACTGAAAATAAGTGTTCGTATTTGTCCCATAATTAAGCTGTTTGAACTGATTTTAACAGATATTCTATATTTTATGTATATTAATTTAAATTATAGAAAATAGAAACGGTCATGATTTAAGTAATAAACATATGATAAATAAAATCTTGCATTTTTAATTAAAAACAAAACTAACTATTTTATCTATTCATACTTTCTTCTGTTCGTTTTGGGTACGAAACGTGGATCTTTACAATAAGGAAATGACGAATCTGTTGAAGGAGAAAAAACTTAATGAATGTATTTGAAAGTCAAATATTACGCAGAATATTTTGCCCCAACAAAGGTAACTTAACCAGAAAATTATGACTTACACAAGGCCGAATAACGTGAACCGCACCAGCTAAATATAATTATGGTTAGTGACGAATGGATGGTTAAGGTTTTCGGAATGGTCAAGAAAAGAGTGACTAAAAGGACAAAGAGCGTATACCTGACAAACAAACGTCCTAGGGGTAGACCCAGCATACATGGGAGCATTGTATTTTGTCCGAACCTGAGCATTTGTTTTTTGATGGAATTCACTGGAGGAAGGTCTCTTGGTTTTATCGGTCTGAAATCTCTGGGTTCGCTAAGTCATTTATTGTTATTATTGCTCATACGTCTTCTAGATTGATGCCGAGAATGCTATTTTTTTTTATGTTTTATTGCTTAAATAATTAATTTGGAGAGTATATTAAAAAAAAAAAACATTATAACCTAATCGATGGTCTGTATTCATATTGACAATCCTGATGACGTAACATATTGGCTGGACTAGGTCTAGGCTAGATAGATAGAAAATAACTTTATTCTGGGACACAATCCTTTGAGAATAACAAAATTAAAAGATTACATCTGGCGTGAATAAAATCAAAAGAAAAAAAAATAATGCAAAGAAAATATAAGGTAAACATTCTGTAAACAAAACAATTAACACTTATGACAAGACACTTGAAGCCATCAGTATACACTTTTTGAGAAAACAATAAAGAAAAAAAAAGGTTCCTTGGTGCCCAATAAATTTTAATTAAATTGGGCTTAAGTCAAGTTTGAATTTTGGTCCAAATTTTATATTAAGTTTAGTTCATATGTTCTACAAAGTATTACATAAAAATCATATGACAAAGTTGTTTTGAAGATCTCGTCAAAGTTCAAAGCCTTTAATAAAAACAATGGAAGAATAAAACTGTTTATCATCATTTAAATAAATCTTTAAAGACATGGCATTTGTGTGGTTTTTACATAAATTATTTTACTTAACTTATAAATATTCAATGGGCCATCATATAGCTTAGATATGAGGAGTTTTACCAGTAACATATTTTTCGTTAAGTTGTTGTATGTTGCCTTTTCTGGTGCTGTAGACCTCGTTGCTCCATAAATGCTAGGGGACAGCTTTAACACCTGTTAGAAATCTGGAGAAAGAAGCGAAGCAATTGATTCAAAGCAAAAGTAGAACATCTCAATCACATTTAATCTGGGCAGATGAAAGCGTCCAACACTGTGACTAAACGGAACCCCACTTTGTGTCCGATCCCTAGTACTAGTCCATCACAATGGTCCCTGAAGATTTCAACAGCCGACTTACAATATCCCACCAACTTCCTTAAAAAACTCATACAGTTTAGCCAATACGCAAATGACCTGTCATAGTGTTTAATACAAATAAAATATTTATTTCAAATACTTATTTCAAGTATTCGAAGTTTTACTTTTCTCATTGGGATCTCGATGTGTTTCATTTCGAGTGCCCCCTAAGCATATTTTTTTCCCTATTTCATAACTATAAATGTAACCGTTTTATGATGATATATTTATGTTTTCCCAGTCTATTTTAAATTATTTTGTTTTAAGCATCTGTACCACCTATCCAAAAGCAAATGTTAAAACGGTTATTAAGTTCATGTATATCAAAACCGGGAGTGACATGTCATCCCGTTGAAATTTGAATTATTCAGACTGCACAATAAACTTAATTTTATTTTTTTTTAAAACGCACCCCATTTGAAAAGAAAGTTATAGAATTACACATAATCTAGTGTGCCACAACATTCAATTGCAACATATTAAATAATAGCTGAATTAAAAAATTAAACCGCCATCGATAGGTCATATTGGTCAGCTCCCTCACGTTCTTGTGGTAATTATTATAGTTTCCTGGCCCCGATGCGGTATCTGTATTGTTACGAAACTTGCATGTGTTCCAGACCTGGTAGTAATCTTGTATCTTTGGCTGTAGAGAAGCTCTAAAGAATTCGGCTTCTAATTAGTGTCTAATGTTTCATTATGATGCGACGACCATGCCTTGCCATGAAGGGATGAACTTGAATTGGGTCCTGCCATTCAGTGGGGTAAAACGCTCTATTCTTTGGTGATAGTTCTCTATGTAATTTTTCGCACTGACTCAACTGGTGAAGTGAAATACACTTGGTGGTAGTAATAGTGCGAAAGAAGCATTTGTTTTTTTAATACCTATCTTAAATCCACTGTATGCACTTATATATTCTTATACCTGCGTTATCCGAATAAGATTTTTAGTAATTTATTTTTCATGACTCTTTACTATGATTTTTTTAAAGTCTTTTTGTCGTCTAGATTTGGAGTATTTTTTTAGATTGTTGAATTATTGAATATATAATGATGTGAAAGATGTAGATCCGGAGATACATTATCTAATAATACTAATTATTCAATTAAAATTGTTGGTGTTAAAATCTTCTGGATTCAGCGCATTTATTGTATATTTATTTCATCTATCAATTAACATATTTATTGAGAGATATTACAACCAGTCACAATTAAGGACATTTATAATAGTGCTCAGAGAGCACATTCACACTCTATAATAAATAATATAGAAAACAATAATACTAAAAGTAAATGTATATAAACTAAAATAAACTAAACAAAAAGAAATTAAACTAATAAAAATAACTGCCTACATACACACATGCTTTTATACAATATCTAAAAGAAAATAAAAAAAAATCATTCACTCAAGACCTCCGAGCCAAGTCTTTCTCCTCACTCGTGGAAGAAAAGGCAGGACTCTAGAAGATCCCAGCGCCTCTCACTCAGCCGTGTTTCTGGTATTAAGGACCTGTAGAGGCTGATCAGAGGCGCTATAGTCACACATACATGGCTTGAGTGGAGAATCT